TTTGCGTCTCACGCCGGCGACAAGTTTTTGTTTACTGAATTCAAACCAAAAACCGATTTTTACACAAAATCCAAAAACGAACAGCGGCAGCGAGGTGGCGGTGGCTGTGCGCTCTGTCGGCGGCAGCAATAAAATTATTTTCAAAAATACATTTTTTCTGCGTTTCTCCTCTCTTTAGTTTGGGAAGACAGCGACGACGACGACAGCGCCGAATAATAGGCGAGAAACAAAATTTACACACACGACCGGAGCCGAAGGTATTTTTTTTGTTGTTTTTGGACGACGTTGAACGATAACAAGCAAAAAAAAGAGTCGGCAGAAGCAACACAGAAAAAAAAAAGAATAGAGCTGGACAAGCGAAAAACAGAGTAGATTACATCAAAAGCTCCGTCGAGGGCTCCCCCTTATCAAGGAGAATATCCTATCTAATCGCAGTCTGATAATTAGCATTGAGTGATAGGTGGCCAGGCCCGCTCTGTAGGAATAGAGAGAACTGGAAAAAAATTGTGTAGAATGTGGAGAACAGCTGTGGGATTTGTTGGGAGGATTTGGCTGCGAAAAATAAAACCAATAATCGCATGATTGAAAGGCAATCATCATCAATTATATCGCTGGCAAGTCTGATGGGCGATTGGTTTTTGCTTTTTTGGGATTTTAAAGCGATGGATGTATTGAAAAGTTATGTTCAGTCATCCGATGTTTATTATACAAAAGAATTTGGGACTTTAAAACATTATTTTATTGCAAAGCTGCAAGGCTTTTTTAAGCATAACTCATTTTAAAATAAATCTTTTATAGATTTATGCAGTGACCTATCCGGATTTCTTTATTTACTGTTTTATTTATTTATATTATATTAATTTCTGTTTAAAAATGGGTCTAAAATTATGCAATAAATACGACTAATATTTGAATATTTACTTTAAAACCTTTTCAATTGCTTAAAAATTTCCAATTCCCTATTTATTCTTTAAAAGACCAGCCGCTATCTGGCTTTTATCAACCAGTCAAAAAGGGGTATTTACAGGTTTAAAAATTTGAAAATCAAACTCACATGTTCAATATGTAAATAAGAATGATAAGAACTTAAAGCCCCAACATCAAAGACTTACTAAAACGAACAAAGAAATATTGATATCAAAAGTTATACCGCTGCAATAGGTGATTTAAAATGTCTAGAACCTAAAGACAGCTTCTCTATATCGAATATAAATTCTAGAAAGTTTCCAACACGCCTTAAACCAACCTATAATCCCACCTACTATAGTTACTCTTTCCTAAATTACACTACTTTACAATCACTCTCACAACACCTAATCAAACCAATCAGTTAGTAACCTCCCTAACCTAAACTCGGTAACTCTGCACTGACGTCACACTGAACAAATAAGCAACTATCAAATGACAGGAAAAGCGTGTGTGCACTTTGATTATAAGCCACTCGACTAATGAACTCTAGTTAAATAAATAGGAAAATGCGAAAAATCAAAGCAAATACCAGAAAGTTAATCAACATTTAAGGCCCTGGCGCACATGTTATATCCAATGTTCTACGTATTTATCTGACGAAAATAAAACACACAAATTAAAAGGAAATTATGAATCGAGGAATGAAATTAGATTTCATAAGCGGTAAATTACAAGGAGGGGAATACAAAGTATTAAGAAAATCCGAGGAAAGACAAGAAATTGCGACAAGTGTCGAGTTAGCGTGAAATTTATAGCCAACAACAGGCCGCGCCTGAGTGAAAGAAAATGCCAAAGAAAAAAAGGAGGAAAAGTGAGGAAAAGCGAGGCGAGGGATATATGTATAGCAAACGATTCAGTTTTTGCTTTCTGATTTAAGCAAATTACAGCAGCTGGCCACCTGCGCGTATACGTAATGTGAATTTATTGGCTCATTAGAGTTGAGCGCAAATGTTAAAGCGGCAAAAATAGTTTGTAGCGAATTTATGCTTGGCATATTTTTTCTCTTTAGCACCGATTTCCTCTGAAACATCACCCACCACTTATCGAGGATCGGCATTTCTATATCTTTGTGGTTAACAGACGTAAACACATCTAATTAGCGTTTAATTGCAATTCGTTTGAAAGTCATTGCGACGAGGTAGCTGTCAGTACAAAACGTTCTCATCAAGGAACTCGCGAGTCTTATCTGGTCTGCGATAATCTATATGGCCGGACAGCTATGGTAAAAGTCGACTGATAAGCCCGGAATGTTGAGCATTAGTTAGTCATTTGGTATATTTAGACTATTAGTCAGTCCGGATGTAGGAAATCCTATTTAATATTTTGCAAAATTATTTACAGTCAAGATTTCTTAATAAAGATTAATTCTTAAGAATAACATATACCGAAAATAGAGCTTATATTGAACTTTTTTCTTTGGGAAACATTTCCTCATAAATATTGAAAATAAAGTTTACTTTAAAGTTCCAGAAAAACGCTCTCAGCTTGATCTTAAAAATGTGTAAAATGATGTCAACAATTTTAATAAAATAGGAATGTTCTCACTTATTGCTTTTAGAGACTTTAGTTCACCCTTTTTTCGCCAGTCAAGGTGGTTAACCAGGTGTTGGAGTCACGTTCCTCTCTGGGTTCTACTGTTTTTACAGCACTTACAGCGGCACAGGGTAAATATTTGAGCTGTATTCGTCTTTTGTTTTTAATTAACAGTCAATATTCCGAGCACAGAGCTGCAACTCGGTCTAGAGTCTTAAGGGGGTCTTCTCATTGGGCAACTTTTTTTTTCGATTTTTTTTTTTTTGCATTTATTTATAGCTTGGGATGGTGTGTATATGTCCCCAAAAGGATTTTTAGAAATTCGAAATACTTTAGAAGATACAGCCTTATTTGTGAAGCAAGTTCTTCGCAAAATGAGCTTTTTTCAAACTTCAAACGCGTTTATCTCGAAACCACGTTTTTCGAACTGGCGGCCATGATATCTCCAGTTCAACTCAACCGATTTTCATGAAACAAAGTGGAGTCGACGCAGAATTGTCACCATTCTCGGGTGACGGAACAGATTTTTTTTTAAATTTTTTTTTCTATTTTTTTTTTACATTAAACTACAAAAAAAAAGCCCGAAATCGAAATTTTTTTTTTAAATGGCCGCCATTTTGTTTAAAAAAATTTAAAAAAAATCTGTTCCGTCACCCGAAAATGACATCAATTCTGATTATAACCCCGTTTTTATTTTTCATTTCGGACGCTCTGGAGACCCTGAATCGTGGCCGCCAGGACGACACCTTTTTTTTCGACCACCATGTTTGAAGTCTCATTACTCTATGAACAACCCTCGTATCGAGGCAAGAACAACTTTTTTAGTTACTTTGAACATTTTTGAATTCAATAAATAAAAAAAGTTTTTAATTATTCTTTGGGTTTTCAAATAAGAATTTTTTTAAAAAGGGTCCAAAAAACGGCTTTTGAATGAGAAGACCCCCTTAAGCTCTGAAGTTCTTATGGAACCATATCAAGTTGTGCAAACACTTAAATACCCCTCGAAGACAGACTGACAGGAAACTTAAACGGTTTTGTGGCGGGGATTACTAACCAGGAGTTGAGGGAGCCAACGTGTAGATGGGTCAATAAATTGCGGTTGTAGCGAAAATATTTGTAATTGGACTCGATAAAGAAGTTAGCAAGTTCTCTTGTACAATATTCTACCTAAAATTTTATGGGAACAACTTTTTTAAAATTAAATAAACCAAAATTTAGAAAGATTTTCATAGATTTAGGGCTATTTATTAGACCGTTACAAAGAGATAACATTTTTGTCCGAATTTAGGGACAATTAAGTGAACACGAAGATGAAAAATCCAAAAAACCTTTAAGCTGATTATTGAATTTAGTTAAGACCCTTCTTAAATTTTTTGTTTAGCAACAATAGCAATACAATCCTGTACTTAATTACCCCCTGATACAATTATCCCAGCCCCATTTTACTTACTGTCTCTGGTGTCTTCAATTAACATAGTTGAAATGGAAACGCTTACCTGCAAAGAAAATGCAAAAATAAATATCAATTAATTAATTGTAATCCAATTTCCAATCAATTATCAAGTACTTATGCCTAGGTAAATAATTAACTTTAAACTGATTGAAAACGAGCTCGCTGTCAATTTAAAAAATCGAAAACGACGACGCAATAGTAGCAACAATGAAGAGGAAAATAAAATAAATCGCTGCGAAAATGTATATGTGTTTATATGCTGATTTAATTAATTGTCGTAATCAGGTATAGCAACGAATTTAATGTACGGTTGTCTGTAAAAATAAATTTTGCAGCAATTTTAAAGAGCTTCCTGCCAAAAGACGTCACACGAGTGCAATTTGTTGGCCAACCGACTAAATGAAAAGGAAAATTGCATCTATCTTCGTGGTTAGCCAATTTTGGCAATCGCTGTGCGATTTGTGCCACCAACCGAGTGGGTGTTGATGGCCAAAAATCTGACAATATATATGTACATATATATCTCTTTAATTCTCATTTCGTCTCGGAATATTCCTTTGTCAGGCCGTTGGCAGGTGGACATATGAGTCAAATATTGGATGGGTTTGGCCCTATAATAGAAACACTCTGCCTAATTTGACAATTATCGCCCAAGTATGAAAGGACAGAGGTTGTATGCAACTGGGATATATGTTGTATGGCGTGGGCTTAAAGCCAGATAATTGATTTCGAGGAATTTTAATGAAAACACAAAACTATTCCACCACAGTGCCAATTTAATTCTAGAGAAATTTCATATAACACATTTTTTAGCTTATATATAATTCGAGCTAAAAAGTTTGCGTGATATTTAATTTGAAAGCCATTTAAGTGATTCCATTTAATCAGATATAGATGTGGGCAAGTTGTAAAACATTTCTGTTGAAAAGTGAATGAGAAAAATTATCATTCAATCAAAGAGTGAAAACATTCTTCTTAAAAGTTTTATAGATATTACCCAGAAAAATAAAATAGAATGTATCCAAAGTTAAAAAAAAGAAAATACTTAAATAATAGTCTCAAATTTTACTAATTCACTTCATTCAAATTATCTTTTATATAGTATTATAGATTTTTCATATTTTTCTGCGACACTCAAGTGTCCTGAATTGGTATTTCACTCTCATCCATGGCTGAACCTAACAACTGTTCCATATTATTATCTTTTGCAGGTTTCTGGTTCATTGCATCGGTTTCCTTTAAAGGATTTTCGCTCTCATAAGACTTTTCAGGATATTCCTGAACTTGCGAATTGTCACTATCCTCAATTAATACACCGACCCGCTTATAGTTAGTCTCTAGAACCGATTCCCAACGATCCACATAGTTGATTTCCGTATGGTGAACATTCATAATGCGCCTGAGATAATGGGTAAAGTCATTGCCCGCCACATGGCCAAGGGTTCCACCCAAACCGAACTGCAAAACATCACTGGAAACATCGTAAATTAGGCCCTTGAGGGCCACTAATATCCTGCCATCTTGGCGGGTTCCATCATATTCCATCAACTCATCCAGTGTCAGTTTGATATCCTTCAGCTCTGGTAGCTGGTTGGGCGTTGGAAGTGAAGGACTAACCGGATCCTTTCGCTTGGACCATCGGCAGTAAATGGCGTAGAAATATCCAAAGGCCAAAAGACTCAAGATCAACACAGAGCTGATAAGAGTTTTAAAGTCTATCAATTCTTCATCCATCTTGAGACTAAAATGTTTTTGAGGGACCGGAAAGGTACTAAGTGAAATTTTAAATTTATTTAAAAATTGAATTTATTAATTTTGTCTCTAACTTTTAAATAAAACTATCTCTAGGCTTACTTTGGCACCCATTTTAATTAATATTTTCTTTGATTTTCAGATATCTATCCATCTATACTCCTCTTAATTACTAGAAAATAAGAACCAGACATCGCCTCCTCCCTCGAGTCTATATTTACTTCTCATTTGCCTTCGCTTCATTGTATCTGCTAATATTTGGTGTGATAACAAAAGTTGATTCTGCGTTTGGGGGACACATATCAAGTGGCTGCTTGTGGCTGCTTGTAGCTGTGTGTGTGTGGGGCTGTTATCAAATTGCCAGAGACTCGCTGCCATATCATTCGCAGTGGCAGGGCAAGCCGGCAGGTGATAGTGTCAGCAAGTGTATCAGGAGCACAGAAATTGGAGCAGCGCCGAGAATCGAGAGTCGGGCAGTCAGCACAAAAGCAAGTTGAACGAACATTTTTCTTATATTATCAGTTGATTAAATATGAATTATATGAACAAATAAAGGCACAAACACACGGCTACAGGCACACATTGTATTGCTACAGTGTGTGTATCATGAAAAACGATAAGCGCCAGAAGGGAAAAAATAACAACAAAATAAAAACTCAGATATAGGGTGGCCCCCCAAATTGGAGAACTTGTATAAGTTACAAAAACAAAAAAACTAAATTAAAAACTTTGTCAGTAAAGTGTTAATCATAATTTGCACTCTTTTCTGAATTAAACTAAATGTAACATTCGTTTTATTCATGATTTAAAATAAACGTTGCTAATTAGTTATCTATCACAACAATAAACAAGTTAAATTAACACTTTATTAAATATTTTTTTGTTTTCTCAATTAAATTATTTGGGTTTGTTAATAAGAGTTTACTAAATAAAAATAAATTGAATTTCAAAACTAAAAATCGATTTTGATAATAAAACAAACAATATTTCTTCCAAAAGTTTGGATATATTCAGGTGTTTCCGCCATACTCAATAAAAACTATGTTTTATATTTTTTAATAATTGTCATATAATTAATTTTAATTTTAACTGTACATTTTAAAGGTAGGAACAGCTTGTATTACTTATATAAATACATTTTTTGTCATGCAAATTTCTTTTAAATTTGAACCTCAAACATATACAAAAATGAAATTGTTTTTAATTGTTGAAATATATAAAAAAAAAAAAAACAAATAAAACGAATTTTCACAAAATTTATAAAAACAAATTTCCGCTAATTTTCAGATTGATATTCGTATAAATTGTCTTGCTTGCTCATTTTGCTATTATCTGGTTTACTTACCCGATAAAATCTTTGATAAAACAATAAACCTTAAATAAACCGCGATCATTATTGAGCAAATATTCTGGCTGTATAATTGCGGCTGGCATTAGATTGACATTTTTTTGTTGCTGCTGTTGTTGGTGATGCATTTGTTGCTGTTGCTGCTGCTGTTGCTGCAGTGTTGTATCACTGCCGCCCATGTTGTTATTGTTGCTGCTGCTTGTCGCCATATTGGCAGCCATTTTGTTGGCTAACGCAGCCATTTTGTTGTTATTGCCGCCATGCTGGCAATAAAACTTATGCTCATGCAACTGTTGTTGTTCTTGTTGTTTGATGTCGTTTTAGCATTTGTTTTTTAGTCAATCATTTCTTATTATATTTATTTAGCACCTCTAAATGTTCATTTTTCGTAGAGCCAGATTTAATTAAAAATTAAATTGAAACAAAGTTTGAAAAAAAGTATAAATTTGGCAAGCCAAATGTTGCCTATAACTATTGCAGAGAGGTTTTATATATTTTTTAAAGGAAATTATATTTTTGATTAAAAAATAACAAATTTATATTTTGTTTTAATTTTTAAATCATTAAATTTAGCCAATTTGTGTTACTTTTATCCTAAAAAGGCAGCCAAATTAATTATGTATTTTTGGTAGTAAAAAAACCATTTGAAATCTATTTTTCTCTGCCATAGTTCCAAAAAAAAAAAAACAATATGCAAATACCAAAAAAACAAAACCGAAACTTAAATCACAAAAGCAATTGGCAAATTTGTTGTTTTGCTTTCATTTTGAAACTTTGCCAATTTACATTAATTTCTGTTTCAACTGCAAATTGGTTGTGTGCGGTGTGGTGTGGGTCTGTTTTTGTGCCTGAGTGTATGGGTATGGGTGTGGGTGTTGCATGTGTCATCATTAAATGCAAAGTTCCAGCATTGAGTAAAATATTTAATTAACATTCGCAGAGCACTGACATGCCACCAGGCATTTCGGTTGCATGCCCCACTCACACACACACACAGACAAAGAAGATACCAACTCTAACGAACAGGAGATGAGTTCGCTTACATAACAAACGTGAAGCAGATGGGGTAAACACACAGGCATGCGAGAGATGCAGTAACAGAAACATTAGGGTAACTCAATAGATTCGAGAAGCAATTCTTTTGAACAATTTCAAGATAAATTTTAAGAAAATATATAATTTTGTATTCCTATTTCCCAACAATTATAGTTGATAATTTCCGAGACCCATTTTTACTATACAATCAATAAAATTAAGTTTTGGCAGTGTCTTTCTTTCGCCTATTCAGGATACAATAAATGATAAATAACACTTAAAATAATGGATATTTCCCTAAATGATTTGAGATTCTTGAATAAATAATAGTATCCCCATTTCCCATATGTTGTAGACTTAGATAGCGAGTCACCCTGCCTAAATATTACTCCAGTGGACTGTCAAGTGGCGCAAAACTGTAATATGTTTGTGCGGCATAAAGTTAGTCAGGCACTGGGTCGGTTTTCCATTTCTCTCCATGCCATTTTTTTTTGTGGCAAATGCAACAAATGGCGCCTGTTGACAGTTTAGTTGACAGCTCGACTAGAAATATGACAGTTGTGGCTGGAGGCACACACTTGTTCCTCGGCGAGTATGGTGTCATCAACTGTCCAGCGACTTGTTTAAGATGCGATAAGCAAGAAAAAAACAAAACGGAGACGTTCCAGAGAAATGTAATGCCTCCCCGGAGTACCATTGCTAAAAGGCCTACGAAAAAAAAGGCGACTAAAATTGATGTGTGTTACACACAAACATTAATTAGCATATTTAATTAACTGAGAACGACGACGACGACACTCGACCAAAATTATTTATACATTTTTTGTTTGTATCATATGTTCAGGTATTCTACAAAGTCAAGTGGCGAGACCCTAACGATAATGATGTTGCCGCTCGACCCTGACTTTGACTTCCCTCTTCCCACACACACAGAATCGTCGCCAGTCGACCTGAAAGCCAGTCACGTACCAAACAGGCAGCCCAAGTACATGTACAAGGGTCCAAACACTTCTAAGCACTTGGCGGAGGACTGGGCCCCCACACACACACAGCATGCCAAGCCAAACCAAGTATTTTCATCCCAAAGAGTTGGCGGAAAACCTTGAGTTGCTCTGCCAAAGAACGAGCCAGCAGCTCTCATTCACCGCCAACAACATTTTCCCCGTCCCATTCACAGGGCCCCAAAAACACTCAATTGAAACTGACACACGGCGCCCAGCAGGAAACAAAACTCACAAAAAAATACCATTTCGCCTTGAAAATGTTTTCATAATGGAACACAACACATAAAAAAAATGCCGAGTTATGTTTGAAAAATCTGTGTTTGTGTTTTGAAAATGAACTGCAAGTCTAATGGTCGTCGTCGTCGAGTCCCATTGTAGGGGGCATAATAATTCCTAAGGTAGTCAGTCAACACACAATGGTTGGGCACGTGCTTGGGAAACATCACGGATGAGATTGGAATGAGCAGGAGTAATGGTAACGCCACCCTGATGGGAGGATGCCCAGTTCATCAGAGGACACAGCCTCGAGCTCAGTAATCTTGGCTTATATTAAATGGACAAGCACAGCACAGAAAATATGATTGAAAATCCCATTTATGCGGGGTTTCTTTTCACAAATAACTTAAACTTAATAGAGACTTGCTCACAGAATACCATTTTCAATAGCTTGTACAACTTACATGGCATTTTTACCTATTTCAAAAAGGAAGGAATCTCTTAAAATCAATATCTCCTCCTAGACTTGAGCCCGCATATTTTCCCCTTCCAAAAATTAAATATTTCCATAAATAAATTCCATGAATATCGCGCGGTGTTTTGCCAAAGGCTCAATAAAAATCATTTAAGCATGAAATTTATGCACATCATAGAACAATGTCAACACAGCTCCTTACTGCTTTTCTGCTCTTTAGTTATTTGTAGATTGTAACATTTCTTTTTTATAGTATATCTTAAGCGGATTTCCAGCGCAACTTTACGCAGTGTAAAATGCGAAAATGGCATTATGCAAAATATCTATCGTCACGCCTCATTGAGCTATGGAAAACAATGGAGAAAGAACTGCAGGCAGGGCGAAGGACTCGTCAACTTTCGCAAAAAAGCGCATTACGGGCTGGTAGGGGGGACGCACTGTACAACAAAAAATACAACGAAATCGCTTTTATTATTATTTTATTTTTTTTTTTTTTGCACATAAGACCCGACCTTGACCTGAAAAATGCGCCACTGCGCTCTCACTCGCTCTCTGGCTTCGCCATCTGCATGTGAATGGGCCAGCAGCAGAAAAATACGAAACCTGAACATGTTGTTATTTGAGTTTAGTTTCTGTTCGGTTCTTTGTTGCATCCACTTCGCATACAGATAGAAATACAGATACAGATACAGGCGGAGCACAGCAGCAGCTCCAAAGATACACAGCTACATAGATACAGTTGCAGCACAGCATGCTTGCAGTTATTGTGTGGGCTGTGAATGTGGGTCGCGGCCTGAAGCTTCACTATGCTATGCTGCCATGCTCCCTGTACATTTTTCTCCCCTCTTTTTCGTAATAAATTTTCATGACTTTTCCTCAACTTTGCTTGGCTTTTGTGGCATCATCTCTCAGCAGCAATTGGCGCCAAATATTGCTGCCAAGGACGTTAACATTTGCAAAGCGATTTCATCACGTAAGCCAAGGGTATAAGAAGTCTGATGATGGCTTTAGTGGCGCATCTATAAAAATCATATTGCATTTCGCAGT